TGTCTGGGGGGGGTGGGTTATTGTTTTCAGAAGCCAAAGCTGCCCCCAACATTTGTTTTGCTGAAGTGAATTCCAAGGGTGACAGATTTGGCAACTGTGGTTTCCATGGCCATGACTACAAGAAATGTTCCAGCTGGTGAGTTGAACCAAATGCATTGGGAAGCTCCTAAATGTATGACTGACATTTTATTTGGGTGCCATAGTATTAAATTGGGGTTTTATGGCAGAAGCACTTGGGAGAGTAACATTATGCTATAGCCTAACCTTAGTGGCAGTGCTTACATCATTCAGAAACCACCGTGAGATAGCTTAGAAAAGATCTGTTTTACTCTAAATTCTGATGCTGTTAGTACATAACAGAAAGCCCTCATGCTTCTGCTTTTGTAGGTTTTGTTGGCTTTTGTTTTAGTTTATCTGGGTCCAACTCTTGCCCATAATATTTGAAATGAGTTTGAAAGTTCAGAGGGTTCTTCTGTAGCTGAGCTTGAAGCTGTTGCCTCGGGGTATCTTTGCCTGACACATTCAGATTTGGGGCTATGGCAGGGAGAGTTTGTACTCCATCTCCCATCACTGATCTCCTAAGCTCTTCACATACAGGAAAAAGCATCACTACAGTATTTGTGTGTTGATGTTGTAGGAATGCCATGTGTGGGAAGCTGCAGTGTGAAAATGTGGAAACTATGCCTGTTTTTGGAATTAAGCCTGCCATTATCTGGACTCCCAGTAATGGCACCACTTGTTGGGGTGTAGATTTCCAGCTGGGCTCTGATGTCCCTGATCCAGGAATGGTGAACGAAGGCACCAAATGTGGTAATGGAAAGGTAATTAACACGTTGAAAGTGACTTTTGTAGAAGAGTTGTGTTCCTGTGGAGTTGAGGTTTGGCATGGAGGAGTGTGTGACCTGTCAGAGAGCAGAGCAGCTGCAGAACCATCGGTGTGGGAACAGTGAGAGGGGAGAAGAAGTGGGGTACTGTGGTGAAAAGCCATCTGGTTTGGTTAGCATGCATCTCTGAACTCCCCTAGGTCTGCAGGCACTTCCAGTGTGTGAGTGCTGCTGTTCTGAACTATGACTGTGACGTGGAAAAGCAGTGCCATGGACGTGGGGTAAGTGATACCTTACAAGTGAAAGCTTCACAGTTTTGTTTTGTTCCTGTGCTCTTGTAATCCTTGTGCTTGTTGTTCACATGTAGGTGTGCAACAACAACAGGAACTGTCACTGTGAGCCAGGCTGGGCTCCTCCTTTCTGCAATATCAAAGGCTATGGAGGGAGTATTGACAGTGGACCTCCCTATAATGGCAAGTAGAAGAGGGGCAGCTGTGGGGCTGTGTTGCTAGGGATGGTGCTGGGCTGAGTGCAGAGTGCCTATTGCTTTGAAGCAGCTCAGTTCTGGTGGCTGAAGTGCTGGTGTGGGGCTGTTCACCAGGTTTCACCCCCTAGCAATCCTAGCTGGGGTTCTGAGCTCGAGGTGTTGCACTTCTTTCTTTTGGGATGCTGGAGATCTTTAAAGACACTGGCCTGTTTCAACTTTCTTCAGGTGATTTCTGCCACCTTGGGCCAAGATCAAATTGGGCTTCTCTGTATCGAAGCTGGACGTTGAAGCCCTTTCTAATCTTAGATCCAAACAAAACATGAAATTTGGCATAGGGTTCAAATTCATGGATGTCAACAGGCATCTCTGTGAGGATGGACTCGCAGCAGTGGTGGCAGAGATGGGTTCTACCCTGCTCTGATATCTGCATGTGCACCTGCAGGACTGTCAGCTGGCCATCATGGGCGTGTTGACGAGCCACTATTTTATTAATGTCTATTATTTGAGTGCAGACAGCATGCTTCGTTTGGTAGTAAATACAAATGTAGTCCCTGCCCCAAACATCTTACGCTATAGAAGACAGATACACCATAAAGAAACGGGGAGAGACAGAGGTTTGTGGCACTGCCTTGTTTGCAGACTTTTGCATTGCTTTTTTTTTTTTGTGGTGGTTGGAAGAGATGGGTGGGGAGGGAATTTTGTCTTGTTTTCATGCAACTTTTTCCCCTCCCAAGGAATAGGTGCTGGGTCAGCATTTGACACAGCAAGAAGATGCTGTGTCTGTGCATATAGAAGATGCCTGTATGGGTTTGCATGGGGAGAGTGGTGCCTGGGGCAGCACAATTCGTGCAGAGGAGGGAACAAAGTGAAAGGCTGTGACACTTTTCTCACTGATAGTTTGAAGATGAAAGAGGAGGCTTTAAGTTGGTGAAGACTTCTGCAGTGAGTTTGTGGAGCATGTGAAGAAGGGACTGATGTAGAGTATTCCTACTCTAGGAATGGCAGAATAGGTGGCAGAATGAACCTGGAGACCCTTGTTCATGAGATGGCGTGGGTTTTGAGGGAAGCTAGATAGTAGCAGATGGGAGAGTCCCACCACAGTGGGAAGATCAGACCTAGAAAAACATTTCTGCCTACGTCTTGCAGTCTGAACAGATTCTTCAGATATTTCTGCCACAGAGAATGGAAGCTTATTGTAGAACCAAACCTAATAAGTGCTACAACAAGACATGTGACGTTACCAGCACTCAGTACTTTCTTCCTCTCCGTCCTTTTGTCCCCCAACAGACAAAGACAACTCACTGAGAAATGGGCTGCTGGTATTTTTTTTCCTGGTCCTGCCTCTCCTTCTAGCTGCTGCTTTGGCATTTGCAAGGAGAGACCGACTGAAACGATGCTTCAGAAGGTTGATGTCACGTTGTCATTCGTAAGTACAGTCCCCTCTTCACCTTCTCTTCTGCTCTTTTGAGGTAGTCCTTAAACATTTCTTTACATAAGCCATTGCTGAAGTATGGAGATATATTCCAAGCTGTCAAACAAAGACAGCTGCACCAAATGATGCATGGAAATTGCTCTGGGCCATGGCAGAAAAAAAAATAGATCAAATTTTACCTAGTGGGAGCAGAGAACTTTATTTTTACCTTTCTGTTTGTTGTTATGTCTTTGGTGATGGGTTTTATGCTTTCTGGGTCCTATCTTTGGCGCGGAGGCAAAATAAAGCTGTCATAGTCCTAAACAGAAAAAGGATTATGTTGTTTCTTAGACATGTGGTAAAAACCATCCTCCTGACATTTGGTATTTGCTAGGATGCTCTAAATCCATCTAGCAAGTAAGAAGCACTTGGATTCGTAGCCTATTCAGTCATCCTGTCAAGGTTATGTGCTCACCCAGGTAACATCTCTTGGGTTTCAGGTCACTTCAGTCACCAGCTCCTAGAACAGAAGCAGAACCAAGAGATTTCCCTCACAGAGGTGTTCCACATGGCATGCCTTACCCTTCCAGAGGTGTACCTGTGGTAGGAATTACTTGCTGTCTGTTTTTATTTGTCTCTGAAGTGACTGATGAGGACGGTTTATGTTATTGTACCATTGTAGAGGCTTCAAAGCTGTGGCTTTGAGGCTTACTCTCTGTTAGGAGTGAAATAGAAGCAGTGTTTCCTAAATGGGTTTAAAAGCTCCTCAGTTATTCTTTCTACTGCTTAGAAGGAAACAACAAGTGTCATTTCCAGGGCTGGTTGCAAGCCATCTCAGATATCACCTGTATGGTGAAACAAATTTAATGCTCTGAAGTGCAAATCTGTGAACGTTCTCATTCTGTTTTATCCATAGGACATGGAGCCAAATACTTATCCTGTGCCATCCTACCCCATTAACCAGCATCCCCAGCAGGCCTACCACCAGTCCTACTACCCATCTCCACAGTACCAGGCCCTGCAGCCACAGAAGATGCCTGCAAGGTTGGTTTGAGTTGCTGCAAGTAATGTAACCAACTGTCCTGATGTGTATGGCTTGTTGTTGCCTTCATCTTTGTAAGTATCAGGATGTTTCATCAGATGCTGTGAGCAGAGCTGACCTTTTAGTGAAAGGAGTTTCTCCTTTGATTCACACTTTGGAATAAAAGCACATTTTATGCTCTAGGGTGCTCTGAGGGCAGCAGAATTTGACCGTGGGGTGTTGGAAGTGAGCCTACATGAGGCACTGAGTGTGCAGGAAGGGGAGAGTCTGTAACAAATGAGCACGGGCCTTGCTAGTGCAAAGCAAGAGGAAGATAGGGCTGCTTTGCTGCGTGCATTCTGGGCAGTGTCAGGGCATTTCAGATGCTGTCATGTGGACTCACAGCAAGTTGTCTGTCTTTACCACAGGCCACCTCCTCCCCAGCAGAAATGTGTACCTCAGAGACCTCCTCCATCACAGCAGAAATGTTTACCTCAAGGACGTTACTTTCCTTCTCGACCGGCACCTTTGCCCCCCAAATAGCTTTTGACTTCTTTGGGACCTTCACGTGAGCTGATCTGTTCACTGAAGCAAAGCTGAAAATGGCATTTATCCTTCTTGCATCCAGTGGCCCATGGTAAACCCAGGAAGCCTTCCTTCTGCAGCCATGGATAAGGCAAAAGAGATACGGAAGCGAGGAATGTAAACCTGCACACAAATACCTCTGCCAAAGCTACAGGAGCAGAAAACATCGAGCCTGTTCTTAGGTCTGAGTGTTGTGGCTCTGCATGCTGCAGCAGGGCTGTCCAGCTGGAAGTGCAGCAGTCTGCAGTTAAATCACCCTTTAAGTCCAGCGCTCAGGAGTTGCTTTAGGTTTCCCCCCCCTTTCTGCAATGAGCCCTAAAAATGAAGTTCTGTGTTGTCGTCTTTCTCAATGTCCCATGCCATGTTCAAATCAAGGAAATCTGGCTAATTAATCTAAACTTAGTTTGCATGGACTGGAAAACGTTACCCATTTACACAAATGGCACAAGTGGAACAAGGTATCGGTGTACTTCATCAGAGGAAGATAAATATATTCTAAACACGTTTATGCATGTATATATGTTTATTGATGTGTAATAATGCACTTAAATTCTTCATTTCATGCTGACTGACACTAAACTACATGAACATTAAGTTTTATTTCATGATTTTAAACCAGTTATTGTGAGTTGCTAAGTGAGAATCCTGTACTAACTTCCACTAATACCATAAATGGGGAAGGAGAACAAAGGTACGAGAAGACGTGGCCATTTTGTTTTGGTTAAGACAAATGGAGTTTTTAGCTCTGGGTTTTAAGTTGGACCTAAAGACTCTGGAGAAATCCCTGCAGAACACTGGGAAGCAAATAATGTGAATCTGCTGAGATCACCTGAGCTTCTCTGAGCACTTTAAGCAGGAGCTGTTGGCTAACGCAGCGTTGCCACCTAATCTTCAACCCTTGTTAGTGTCAGTCAGGATGCTTTCCTAGGCTTACATGCAGCTGCCATCGGTTTCTGTGCCACTGCTAAACCAGGTTTAACACAGTACCCAGAAGGGGAGCTCAGCACTTGGTGCTGTGGGTAGGAACTGATGCTGGAGACAAACAGGAGAATGAAAACGGGGAAGACAACCCTGGAAAGGTGTGCTTGGCTTTTTCACTTTGTGCTGGCCACTGAGTACAAACTTGCTCTGCAAAGATCCCCCATCGTATTGCCAAAAAAAATTCTTATCTTCTGTATATACATATATAAATATATAGAGAGAAAGTGTTTGCATTTGCAGTAATAAAATACTTGAACTCCTGTGGTTTCCCATAACCATAGACTAAGATTTATAACACTATTAAAATCCATCAGATGTCACCTAGGCTATCAGCAGACTCGTCCATGGGGGTCTTCTGTCTGTCCCAAGCTGTTCCCTGTTCCCATTCTGTCCCACTCTTGTCAGGCTCTGCCATTTCCTGGCTCTGCTTTGTGTTTGGCAACGTGGGGAGCTCACATCACAAAGTAATCCGGGATCTCCTTAATTGTACTTCAAGCTGTCCGTGTGAACTAAAACTATGCTGAAAACGGTGCCTTCTAATACGTTTTTATACTTCCTTGTGCATGTTAGCAATATTTGCAGGGTGGTGGTGTAGGGCAACCAACGTGCAGTTTTTAGAGGCTGTTCTGTGGAAATGGCTCGGATTTTAAACGTGCCGAATCTTGCAGATGACTACTGATTTCCTTTTATGAAGCAGACGTGATCCCTGCCCCCGTTGGCTTGGGGGAGGGTTCCCACTTTACAGTGGGAGCAGCATCCCCCCGTTCCCATGAGCTTCTGGGACGCAGTGCGTGTGTTTGTAGCGCTCGGGGGCGACGGACTTGCTGTACCCAACCTTTGTAAGAGCAAGCAAGCAATAAACACGCTGGTTTTGTAGAAAAACACCCTTTTTGTCCTCTGCTGCTTTTGGCCGTTCCGTTGGGGCCGTTGCTGGTGGAGCTGTTCTGTTGGGGCCGTTACCAGCAGAGCTCTGCTGGTTGCTGCTGAGCAGGCAGCAGCAATGGGGCCGTGCCTGATGTTGGGAGCTGCGCTGCTGGCTGTGATGTGTGAGTGCTCCCTGTGGAGCTGTGGGGCCGTGTGGGGGCTGCTGGCTGTGATGCTGCTCTGCTGCTCTCTCCCCAGGTCCACGAGCGTTGTCACAGATCACAACCCCGCTGCAGCTGCCCCCCAACGTGACGGGGCTGTCGGTACAGTGCTCCCTTCCTACTCATGCAGGGGTGGGTGGGTGCAGTGGCTGGGCGATGGGGGTGATGTGCTGGTGGGTGAGGGGCTCTGCCAGCCCCTCAGGGAGTGTTGAAGCTGGTTGAGCTTCCATTATCTGCTCTCTGAGCTTGCTGTTCTGCTTATAATTCTCCCCTTCTCTGCTTTTCTGCGCTCCAAGGACAAGCTGTCCTACATCCTCACGGTGGAGGGGAAGCCATACACCATCCACCTTGAGAAGCAGTGAGTTGGACCTGCCCTGCTGTTCTGGCATGGGGCAATTCCCACCTGTGGGCACTGGGGTGGAAGGGGTGGGGGGTGCTTGTGGCTGCAGCCCCGATGGCAGCAGTTTGGGGTCTGCAACTTCAGTGGCAGTGTGGGATAACGCTTCAGTATTTGACTTCACGCTCTTCTCCTGCAGTCTCTTTATACCTGAGGATTTTAGGATTTATGTGTCAGATGAGACAGGATCCTCGATGGCTGATTTGACCCGTATCAAGGTAAGCTTGGGTTGTTATTATTTGGTGACCAGCACTTGAGACTCCCCAGCTCAGAAAGGGTTCCCTCTGCTTTGCCATAGGGCGACTGCTACTACCGTGGCTCCATCGAGGGCATCCCTGGTTCAGCAGTGACCCTCAGCACCTGTGCAGGGCTCAGGTATGGGCGCAGGGCTCTCAGGTAGGAGGTACCAGGCCTGGCACTGCCGGTGGCACCGTCTCCTCCCGCAGGGGCCTGCTGCAATTCCACAACGCCAGCTTTGGGATCGAACCTCTGGGCTCCTCTCCCACCTTCGAGCATTTCGTTTATCGGCTGAGAAATGAGAACACGGCGGGGTTCCTGTTTGCTCAGAGCCACCCCAGGGCTGCAGGAAGAGGGATGCAGGAGGTGAGAGTGGGGCCGTGCCATGCGGGGCTCTGAGCCTGGGCAGCCTGGATGGCAATGGCTTGCAATGAGCTGCTGTGTGGTCACTGTGCTCCTGCCTCATCTAGCAAGAGGAGCTGCTGAGCTGAGGTGGCTCTGCACATCATTGAGATTTACGTAGCACAGCAAAGCTCAGGGACACAGTTCCTAGGGTGTAGGAATACAGAGCATCCAGCTGTTCTCTTTTCAGCCACCATCGGATGCAGCCCAGTTGCCCAAGTACATTGAGGTGTATGTAGTTCTGGACAAGGCTCTGGTAAGTCAGCAGCATCCGTTTCCTCCCTGTGTTTGCTCTGATTGTGCCATTTCCAGCTTCCACTAATTCGTGGCTTCCCTTTGGGGTGGTATTTGTGCTGAGGGTTTTGCAGGAAGGGAAGGTGGATGTTGGTAGCTTGCACTTACGTGATGGGCATAGGGAACACTTTAACGTTGTCTTGTGCTGTCACAAGCCATGCTTTGCCCATTTTCATGTCTCATGCTGCTTTTCAGCACAACTATTTGGGCTCAGACCAGAACGCTGTGACGCAGAAGATGATCCAGGTTTTCAATTTAGCGAACAGTGTAAGTTTGGCAGAGGTGCAGCCCCTCAGGCTGACACAGAGGTTTAATTGCTCTGAGACCAAGGCGTGAGCAGCCACTGTTGCTGCTACATTTCAGATCTTTAATCCCCTGAATGTGACCGTGGTGCCGTCCTCCCTGGAGCTCTGGATGCAGCAGAACAAAATCTCAACGGATGGGGCAGCAGATGAGCTTCTGCAGCGGTTCCTGCAGTGGAAGCAGTCGCACCTGGCTCTGCGGCCACACGACGTTGCCTGTCTGTTTGTGTAAGACCAAAACACCCCAATAACTGCAGATGAGCAGAACTCAGCCCACAGCTTCCAGCCGTAGGGCATCACAGGAAGGTCTGTGCACAGAGCTGCTGTGTTCCAGGTACCGGGACCAGGCTGACTTCACAGTGGCAACATCTCCAGGCACGCTGTGCCACAGAGATGCATCTGGTGCTGTGGCCGTGGTATGGAGCTGTGCTATGGGGCTGTGGTATGGGGTGGTGCTATGGGGCTGTGCTGAATGGGGGGATGTGGCCAGGCCGTATCACAGCCAACAGCACTGCTCTCCTGCAGCTGCAGCGCGCCGTGACTCTGGAATCGTTCTCCGTCGTCCTGGCGCAGCTGCTGGGGCGCAGCCTGGGCATGGGGTTTGATGATGGCCGGGGCTGCCGCTGCCCCACACACACCTGTGTCATGGAATGGAGAGCACTGTGAGTGCCCGGGGGTCCCTGTGTTACAGATACCCCCAGCAGAGGGCTCTGCTGCAGATGTGGTGGTGGTGGAGGTGGTGCAGGGGTACCTGCTTGGGAAGGGAGGAAGGATAAATAGGGATTCGCTTTTGAAAAGCAAAGCTTTATTTCTGAGAGCAAGATATTCCTGAATGCTGCCCAATCCCCATCAGAATCACAGAATGGTGAGGGTTGGAAGGGACCTCAAGGATCACGAAGCTCCAACCCCCTGCCATACGCAGGGCCACCAACCTCCCCATTTCACAGCAGCCCAGGCTGCCCAGGGCCCCATCCAACCTGGCCTTGAACACCTCCAGGGATGGACGGGGCATCACAGCCTCTCTGGGCAGCTGTTCCAGCACCTCACTGCTCTCATAGCAAAGAACTTCCCCCTGACATCCATCCTCAATCTTCCCTCCCTCAACTTCAAACCATTTCCCCTTGTCCTGCTGTTATCTCCCCTTTCCAAGAGTTGATTCCCTTCCCGTTTGTAGGCTCCCTTTAGGTCCTGCAGGCTGCACTGAGGTCACCCCGCAGCCTTCAGCGCTGCACGGAAGCGGCGGTGCCAGCAAAAACGGCTCATCCTTTCTTTCAGACACATCAGTGGGACAAAGGCCTTCAGCAGCTGCAGCACTGCAGACCTGGAGCAGTTCCTGAGGCGCGATGCAGGGCGCTGCCTCCTGCACAGCCCTCAACTGCGGGGTTCCTCCCCACGCCGTGCGCCCATCTGCGGTAACGGCGTGGTGGAGCAAGGCGAGCAATGCGACTGCGGCGGCACCGAGGTGTGCACTGCAGCATCTGCAGACAGAGCTGTGTGTTGTCCATGCAGAGCTGTGCAAGGCTGTGCTCAGATCCTGGCTTCCATCTGATGGCAGCTTTGCGCACTCTGGCTTGATTCGCGTTGTGGGGGTGAAAAAGGGGAGAAGGTGTGATGGTGAGAAGTTCTTTGGGGGGGGACGGACAAAAATGTGGTGTAATGTGGTGCTGCTGTGTCCTCAGGCATGCTTGAAGGATAAATGCTGCACTAAAGGATGCGTGTTTAAGCCAGGAGTGAAATGTTCCTCTGGGTTATGCTGTGAAGAATGTCAGGTAAGGCTCTGATCTTGTAACCATCATCGATCGTCGGAGAAATATCTTAAGGATGGAGACAAACTGCTGCAGCCCAATTGAGGTGGTTCCTGGGTGGGGATTTCCAGCTCAGCTCCCTTTAATTCTGGACGGATGTTACTGGGGGAGGTGTTATTGCTGGGGCTGTGCAATGCCCCAGAGCCACGGGCTGCAGCCAGCAGTTGGTGTTCAATCCCAGTTCAAAGCTCCCAACACTCCGTGCCGTCCCTCCGCCGACGCTCAGTGCGATCTGCCCGAGTTCTGCAACGGCTCCTCTGCCTCCTGCCCCCCTGATGTCTACGTGCAGGACGGGCACAGCTGTGAGCACAGCACAGGCTACTGCTACCACGGGCGCTGCCAGTCTGCTGAGCTGCAGTGCCAGCGGCTCTATGGGAGAGGTAGAGGCACCCAGCACAGCACTGGGGACGGCAGGTGGTGGGATGCTGGGTGGTGGCAGCGACTGGGGTTTGCATTCTGCTGTGTGCAGCCTGAGGAAATAGGAAGCTGTTGAGGGCTGTGTGTGAAGAGCAACGTTACTGGTAAAACATGCAGGTTCGAGGAGCGCTCCCGTGGTGTGCTATGAGGAACTGAACAGCCAGAGGGACAGATTTGGACACTGCGGGTACCACCCCCGGCACGGCTACAGGGCCTGTGCATGGAGGTAGGTGGCTGAAGAGGGGCACTTCCCTGCTAAAAGCACACAGTTGGGTTTAATTCGGGCTGTGCAGAGCAGTTAAGCATCAATGCTGTAGTTGTGCTCAGCAGCAAACGCAGCGCTGCGTGTGTTCTCCTTGCCAGCACTGCAGCCCCTCTCCACACTGGTGCTGTGAACGATGCTGATGTTTCACCACGCAGTGTCTGTCCATATCCGTGTCCAAGCATCCATCTGATGCAGATTGATGTTCCAGGAACCTTCGCTGTGGCAAACTGATCTGCACCTACCCACACAGCGCCCCGCTGGAGACTGACGGCGCTGCAGTTGTTTATGCCCGGGTTCGGGAGCAGCTGTGTGTATCTCTGGATTTCCTGAATGCATCACCAAGGCAAGATCCCCTGCTGGTCCCACCGGGCACAAAATGCGGCTCTGAAATGGTAGGAAAATATTTGATCTGCATTTTTATTTAAGAATGCGTTGAAGATTTTGCTCCGATGTGGGGGGCTGAGCTGAGCACTCTGTGATGTTCCAGGTGTGCATAAACAACACGTGCCACCCTCACTCCGTGCTGGGCTACGACTGCAGCAGTGAAATCCAATGCCACGGCCACGGAGTGAGCAACAGCACCATATCATGATGGATGGCCCTGGGCAGAGCTGTGCCTGACCTGAAGACCCTCTGCTCCCCCCCGTATCTCCCCCAGGTGTGCAATAACCACCGGCACTGCCACTGCTATCCAGGATGGAAACCTCCCGACTGCCGTCAGCGTGGGTCGCGCCTCGGGGGCAGCGTGGACAGCGGTGTGCAGCTGCTGCGCAACAGTGAGTGCAGCAGTGTGGGGTTGTAGAACCAGAGAACCCTAGGATCACAAGGTTGGAAACGACCTGCAAGATCATCCTGTCCAACCTCCCATCACCACTGCTACCACAGGCACTAAACCAGATCTCGCAGCTCCTCATCCAGGCACCTCTTGAACGCTGCCAGGGACGGCGACTCCACCACCTCCCTGGGCAGCCATTGCAGTGCCTGGGAGAAAAAGTTCTTCCTTATGCATGGCCACCAACCTCCACATTTAATACCAGGCTGCCCAGGGCCCCATCCAACCTGGCCTTGAACACCTCCAGGGATGGACGGGGCATCCACAGCCTCTCTGGGCAGCTGTTCCAGCACCTCACGGCTCTCATAGCAAAGAACTTAACGCTCTCTTTGCCCCAGGGCCCCACCAGCACCGGACGCAGCGGAACGCGGCGAGGAAGGCAGGGTTACTGGCCGCCTGCTTGCTGCTGCCCGCTGTGCCCGTGGTTGTGCTGCTGCTGCTGCTGCGCCGGGAGCTGCGGATCCGTCAGATGAGGAGCGGAGAGCGGTGAGTGCGGGGCGGTGGGGTGCGGGGCTGAGCCGCTCCGTGCGCTTACATCTCCCTCTCTGTTCATCGCAGCATCGCCGAGGAGCGCAACGAGGACGCGGAGGAGGAGCAGGAGGAGGAGAAGGAAGAGGATGAAGCGGAGGGGAACGCGGCGGAGAGCAGCGGGAGCGAATAAAGCGTTGGGAGCGCCGCGCGGCCGCGTCTCTGTCCTGGGGATGCGGGGGGGAGGGGGGAAGGCACGGAGGGGCCGTTACAGAGGGGCCGTTACCGGAGGGCTCGCAGTATGGAGCTGCTCCTGGTGATGCTGCTGGCGATGCTGGACGTTCTGCGTGAGTCCGACCCTTTGTGGGGCTGTGCGGGTGGGGATCCCGGCTCAGAGCTCAGCCACAGGGTGATCGGTGGGCAGAGGGATGAGGGTTTGGGGCTTTCTAAGGAGGAGTCCTTGGGAGGACCCCGTGCCGGTTGGATTCGCTCTCAGCAAATGTTGAGCTCTGCTGTTGGGGGTTGAGCTGCTCAAAGAGCCCTTCTGCTGCCTGCTGCAGTGAGCACGAGTTGTGCTGCTGTGCCCAATGTGCAAAGTTCCATTCAGGGACAGCAGCACAACGGCGTGGGGCAGAGCTGAGCTCCTAGTGAAGCAGATGTTGGCATGCAATAAACAGCGAGCGTGGGCTCCGTGAGCCCTGCAGGTGAGCTGACCTGGAGCCTCCAATCGTGCTCCCATTGCTCAGAGTTCATACGGCCAGGCTCAGGTCCTGCAAGCGATACGTGGGCTTTGGTTTAACCTTCATAAAAGGTGCTGCATGGCTGCGAGGCAGAGCAGGTGAAGTTCTGCAGGCACAACCCATGCAAAGCTGCCTTTCCTGCTGCGCACCGACCCAACCGCAGCTCACAGGTGCCCACAGGAGGGGCTGTGATCACTAAACCCAGTTCGTTTCTTTAGATTCACAAGTGCCTCTGCACATCACGGTTCCCCAGAGGGTGCTCTCAAACACAACTGGAGAGATGGTATGGATCAAACTGTTCTGTGTGTGTGTGTGTGTGCATGCCTACCAGTGCAGGGTGCAGCCCTTACAGTGCAGCTCTGGGAAGAGACCCTGAGCTGCCCCAGGGTGGGTGATGGAGTTGGCAGCATCTTCTGTAGCTGCTCCCTGTGTTTTGTTTCCCTTTCCTAACTCTTACTTTGCTTTTCTGCCCATGCAAGGACACGCAGTCCTACATCCTCTCAGTGGAAGGGCGGCCGTACACCATTCACCTCAAGCAGCAGTGAGTTCATTCCATCCTGTTCTTAAGTTCTTTGCTATGAGAGAGTGGTGAGGTGCTGCAACAGCTGCCCAGAGAGGCTGTGATGCCCCGTCCATCCCTGGAGGTGTTCAAGGCCAGGTTGGATGGGGCCCTGGGCAGCCTGGGCTGCTGTGAAATGTGGAGGTTGGTGGCCCTGCGTGTGGCAGGGGGTTGGAGCTTTGTGATCCTTGAGGTCCCTTCCAACCCTCACCATTCTGTGAATCTGTTTTGGCGATTCCAACCTGCTGCCACCCCCCCATGGCTGCGCTGGGGGCTGGGGCTGCTCCTGCCTGCAACTCCAATGGCAGTGGTTTGGGGTCTGCAGGGACTGTGGGCTCCGTACGCATGCAGTGTGGCTGCAGCAGTTGGTTTGATCTGGGGAAATCCCAGATAAACATTTCTTTGGGTGTTTTCAGAGCGTTTTGCTGTATTTCTGTTCCAGGTTCTTTTTACCTGCTGATTTCAGCATTTACACATACAACGAGACAGGATCGTTGCGCTCTGATTCACCCTATATCAAGGTAATCTCAGCTAGCTTCTCTCCGTTGGCAGTTTGCAGGGTGGCCTTCCTGCTCAGTGCTTTCAGACTTGTCTCTCCTTATTACAGGAGAGTGGAGTTTCCCTCCTTTCTCCACTTTTTGGCATCCTAAACCATGCAGGAAGTGCTGGGGTGGAACAGAAAGCTGTCCATGCAGATACGCAACCAGAGCCATCGTTGGGAAGGTTTGGGATGTGCTGAGGGTTCCTTTTGCTTTGCCGTAGGGCGACTGCTACTACCGTGGCTACATCGAGGGCATTCCTGGCTCAGCAGTGACCCTCAGCACATGCATGGGGCTCAGGTATGGGGCGCAGTGCTGCTGTGCTCAGTGCTGCCCGGCGCTGCTCACAGACTGACGCTGTGCCCCCTGCAGGGGCCTGCTGCAATTCCACAATGCCAGCTATGGGATCGAGCCGCTGGGCTCCTCGCCCTCCTTCCAGCACGTGGTTTATCCCGTGAGCACTGGGGCTGCAGTTGAGGCTCTGCTCCCACACGGCCACCTTGGGGTCAGCAGGGATGCCCTGGCGGCTGACGGCAGCTCTGACACAGCACAACCAGCTCTGAAAGTGAGTGCTGTCATTGGGACTGACCCAGCACCAACATCTCTGGCTCTGTCGGAGCTCAGCACCCATTACGTCTCAATTACATGGATAGATCAATTAACAGTGACCAGCTTTTTTTCTCCTCCAGCTACTGTCAAGGCACCGCAGAGAGGTGTTGCTCCATGTGGTTCTGGAAAGGAGTTTGGTAAGCCTGGCGCAGCCGACTCCAGGCTGTGGTTGTCCTCTGCATTCCTGCAGAGCTTTGCAGTGGTCCCACATCTCTCTGTGCCCCCTTGTGGCCTTCAGCCCATCACAGCACGGCCAATAGCCACCGTGCATCCCTGTGTTCCAGTACAGGCACCTGGGGGACGACCAATACATCGTGTCACAGAAGGTGGTTCAGCTCATCAGCTTCCTTGACAGCGTGAGTTTCACCTGTGCTTTGTATGCTGCAGTGGGGAGTTCTGCTGGTCGGGTTCAGCTCGGCGCTGCTCGGCTTTGTCTCACGTTTGCTTTCAACCGTGCTGTGCCGGGATTTACTCCCAGTCCCTAAAATCGCTTTGGTGCCGTGTTGTCCTATAACGAAACGCTCCACTGAGGGGCGGTGGTGCTCCGTGCGCAGAACGGCAGCGGGCTCTTCCCTGCCCGACATGAGGGTCATCTCTGTCGTTGTGCATCCAGATGTTCAGCTCCCTGAATGTGACCGTGACGTTGTCCTCTATGGAGGTCTGGAGGTTGAGGAACAAAATTCAGACCACGGGGGCTGGAGAAGTGGTGCTGCTGCGCTTCTTGAATTGGAAGAGGAGCAACGCAATCCTGCGGCACTACGTAGTGCCCTACCTGCTGATGTAAGAAAGCCACTGCCTTAGCATTGAGCTGCTAAACCTTTGTGCTTTGGATCATTGGGCATTGCACAGAGCTGCTGTGTTCCAGGTACCGGGACCAGGCTGACTTTGTGGGTGCGACCTCTCCGGGGATGCTGTGCCGCAGAGATGCATCTGGTGCTGTGGCCGTGGTATGGAGCTGTGCTATGGGGCTGTGGTATGGGGTCGTGCTATGGGGCTGTGCTGAATGGGGGGATGTGGCCAGCCCGTATCACAGCCAACAGCACTGCTCTCCTGCAGCTGCAGCGCGCCGTGACTCTGGAATCATTCTCCGTCGTCCTGGCGCAGCTGCTGGGGCGCAGCCTGGGCATGGGGTTTGATGATGGCCGGGGCTGCCACTGCCCCACACACACCTGTGTCATGGAATGGAGAGCACTGTGAGTGCCCGGGGGTCCCTGTGTTACAGATACCCCCAGCAGAGGGCTCTGCTGCAGATGTGGTGGTGGTGGAGGTGGTGCAGGGGTACCTGCTTGGGAAGGGAGGAAGGATAAATGGGGGTTTGCTTTTGAAAAGCAAAGCTTTATTTCTGAGAGCAAGAAATTTCTCAATACTGCCCAATCCCCATCAGAATCACAGAATGGCCAGGGTTGGAAGGGATCTCAAGGATCACGGAGCTCCAACCCCCTGCCACATGCAGGGCCACCAACCTCCACATTCAATACCAGCCCAGGCTGCCCAGGGCCCCATCCAACCTGGCCTTGAACACCTCCAGGGATGGAGGAGGCATCACAGCCACTCTGGGCAGCTGTTCCAGCACCTCACCGCTCTCATAGCAAAGAACTTCCCCCTGACATCCATCCTAAATCTGCTTGGGAAGGATAAAGGCTTCTCTATTGCAAAGCAATACCTTTTCTTTCCAAAATCCAGATGGAATGCTGCCCAGTGCCACAGCAGTGGCAACGCCAGCACACAACCCCCGAGGTCCACCCTTTCTTTCAGACGCATCGGTGGGGCAAAGACCTTCAGCAGCTGCAGCGCTGCAGACCTGGAGCAGTTCCTATGGCTAAACCCAGAGTGCCCCTTCCTCAGTGCCCTGCAGTTGCACCCCGACCCCAGAGCCGCCGTCTGCGGCAACGGCGTGGTGGAGCACGACGAGCAGTGCGACTGCGGTGGCGATGTGGTGAGAGGGATGGGGAATGGTTGTGGGGCTGGGATCCCTGCCCTGCTCCCTGACGGCAGGACGGGGGCAGCACTCATCCTGCAGCGAGAGCAAAAGCTCATAGTGTGCTTGCAGGCGTGTGCAGTGGATGCGTGCTGCACTACGCAGTGCAAGCTGAAGCCCGGCTCGGAGTGTTCCTTGGGACTGTGCTGTGCAAAATGCCAGGTGAGACGGGCGAGTCCCTGCTGGGAGTTAAGGCAAGCATCACGCTGAACAAGGCTGAAACGCTGGGTGGGAGCCGGATGGACGGGATGAGGGTGCGGTGCTCACAGAGCCGCAGCCAGCAGTTGGTGCTCAATCCCAGTTCAAAGCTCCCAACACTCCGTGCCGTCCCTCCGCCGACGCTCAGTGCGATCTGCCCGAGTTCTGCAACGGCTCCTCTGCCTCCTGCCCCCCTGATGTCTACGTGCAGGACGGGCACAGCTGTGAGCACAGCACAGGCTACTGCTACCACGGGCGCTGCCAGTCTGCTGAGCTGCAGTGCCAGCAGTTCTATGGGAGAGGTAGAGGCACTTGGCGCAGTGCTTTTGGGGCCAGAACCCCCCCCCCCCCAACTGGGAACGGGTCCCTCTAACCTAAAGAACTGATCTATGCTAAACACAGCCGTGTTTAGCCATTCTGTTCCGTTGCTTCCAAACTTCCAGGTGCAAAAAACGCCCCTTTGGTGTGTTATGAAGAAATCAACAGTCATCAGGATAGGTTTGGGCACTGCGGCCATCGGCTGCTGGATGGCTACCAGCCCTGCTCCTGGCTGTAGGTGTAACCCAGGGTGTTTGGTTGGTGCTTCCCTTTACTTCCCAAGCAACACTTCATGCAAAGATCTCACACTGCTGCGTTCTGCACACTGACTTTTCTTCCTTTGCTGTGCTCTAATGAATTTCTTAGGAATCTGGGTTGTGGAAAGCTCATCTGCACATACCCAAATCAAGTTCCCTTCACCAAATTAAAGGGTGCCATCATTTATGCTCAAGTGCGAGAACATCTGTGCGTGTCTTTTGATGTAATGCATGCACCCAGTGAGGCAGATCCTCTCCTGGTTAAGGACGGCACAAAATGTGGTCCTGGAAAGGTAAGAAGTGTTCCCCAAGCTGGCCATTGCTCTATGAAAGATCCCTTGGTCTTAGAGACGATCAGTAAGCCAATGGCACAGGCAATAAGCAGATTATACTGCAAAATAGCAGCTATTTCCAAAGCTGTTACACCCTGTGATCATGGGACATCATCAGCTTGATGAAGGGAGATAGAAAAGTGCCCAGCAGGGTTTTTTTCCCTGTTGTACTTGCAGGTGTGCATGAATGGCACGTGCCACCCACACTCCATTCTGAACTATGACTGCAATGCAGAGAAAAAATGCCATGGGCACGGGGTAAGTGACAGCAGCGCTGCTGGGGAGGCGATGCTGTGCTGCTCAGTGTTGAAGAGGAGCGAGAGGTTATTTCCAGGTGTTTGGGACTTGGCCAAACCTGGGGGGGTCCTCGTCCTCCAGAGTCATCGTGCAGCAGAGTGGGAGAAATCGAGTGAGACTATTTAATGTTCTAAGGCCAAAATTAAATGGGATGAAGGAACGTGGAGTATTTGCTCGTCTAGATTAGCGGAAAACTGGAAACGGAGAGTTTTCTTTTCACTCTGGCACTTGCAGGTGTGCAATAACAAGAAAAACTGCCACTGCCAGCCAGGCTGGAATCCACCCCACTGCAGCACGCGGGGATCTGCGCTGGGTGGCAGCACTGACAGCGGGCAGCGGCTGCGGGAAATGGAGAGTGAGTGCGCACAGAGCGACTCCGAGCAGCCCCAGGGCTCTCAGCATCACCTGGGCTGCCGTGCGGTTCTGTCCCCAGGCCATGCCCCGAAGGTCTCTCCGAAGGATAGGCTGAAAAACGCGCTGCTGCTGAGCTTCTGCCTCCTCGTCCCCATCCTCATCTGCATCGTCATCCTGATCATGAAGTGGAGCCGGCTGATGCGGCGCTGTGCCAGGAGTGAGATGGAAGCTGCTGAGTGAGTTGACGTTGGGTGGGTGAGCAGGGATCCGTAGGAGCTCCTGGAAAGCTGTTGAGATCCAGAGGACATATTCCATGCCACCCAGCTGGCTGTCTGCAGAAAAGGCCTGGGAGAAATTGCTGGTTCCAAGGGAAAGGAAACGTAGAAGGGGAAAAAGTTAGATGCAGGAGGAGCTACAGGTGTCACAGCTGGAAAGCAACACGTCTGTCCCGCTGTGAAGCAGTGAGAGAGTGAGAAAGACAACGTGAGAGCAGGTCCAGGACAGGGCAGGCATCTTTGGTGTCCCTCGGGGCGTCACCGTGTGCTCCGTGACGGTGTCCCCAACCCAAAATAATGGGGCACAGATTTTGGGATGCACACGTTTTGGGAATGGAGATGTGATGGGGTCTGGCAGTCGGTCCTGCTGGAGGCGGCGTGTGAGAGCAGGGACCGGGCTGCGCTGAGCCCCCCGTGCTGAGCCCCCATTTGTCCCTGCAGCTCCGCAGACGAGGCGACCAGCAGCATCGGGAGCAACGAGAGCAGCGGGAGCAGCCGGAGCAGCCGTGCGGGGATGGAGCCGGAGCCGGAGCGTGGCTCGGGGCAGCGCGCGGGGGATTCACGCGAGCAATAAAGACGTTGAAGCAACCGGCTGTCGTCGGGGCGATGCGGGCGGCTCTGGGGCTGGCGGTTCTGCTGGCGGTTCTGCTGGGAGGAGCGGCCCAGGGGCGGCCCCGCTCCCGAACCTTCAGCATCCCCATCGCTGGCCGTCCCCGCACCGTGCGGCTGCGGCAGCAGTAAGCGGGGATGGCGGCGGCGAACGGGGGCGGCCCCGGCGGGGTGCGGAGCGGAGCGGCACCGCGGAGGGTCCATCTGTTCTGTGCGCAGAGTTTTTCTCCCCGAGGAGGTCCGGATTTACACCGACGGCCGCGGCGGAGGCGAGCAGACCGAACTCGCGCATCTGGAGGTAACGGTGCGGCCGTGCGCTGCGCCCGACGGCTTTGGGTAGGGCTGGAGGGGACACCCGGAGCAGCAGCGGTGCAGTTTCCCTTCTGCACGGACGCTTTTTGAGGCCTCTTGCTTTCTTTGGGATGCTCTTCCGCCCCTGGGGAGCGCACGGAACCTCAGTGGACGGTGCGCTGAGGCCGGGAGGAGCGGCCACCAAATGCCGTCTGTTCGGTGCTCGTTCCTCGGAACCTGCGGGGATGGGACGGGACCACAGCGCTCAGCTCTGGTGCCCGGCGCTGTTTCTGCTCCCTGCTGCTCCCCACACAGCAGGCACCGCGCTGATGGTGCGGCTTCACTGCTTCCAGCGCGACTGTTTCTATGAAGGCTACGTGGAGGGTTTCCCAGGGTCAGTCGTGGCACTCAGCACCTGCTCCGGGCTCAGGTAAGCTGCCCGCCCTGCTGTGACAGCAGGAGCACAGGCAAGGGGACCGGCAGTGCTGCAGCAGAGCCGTTCCTGCCCTGCATCTTCACCCTGCAGTGGGATCCTGCAGCTCGCCAACACCAGCTATGGGATCAAGCCTCTGGAGGCTGCATCTGGCTACCAGCACCTCGTTTATCAGATGGAGGGGGAAAACGTGGGCACACAGCCGCTGGGAGGAAGCAGCTCCCTCGCCTGGGCTGCAGAGGTGTCCCTACAACCATGGGATGGAGCGGTGAGCACAGCTCGGGGCAGTTTGCTTCGGTGAAGTGATGCCATAGACCTGGGAGATCTTCAGTTCTCTGCAGCTGGGTGTTGTTCCTGCATTTGTTCAGCACCTCAAATGTTAATGACTCCCCTTGTTAAAATGTGTGTGGGGATTTTTTGTTGCTGTTTGATTTGTTTTGTTCTTCTCAAGGCGAAGGAAGCTGTTCCTAGGTCCCCTCTGTATCTGGAGATGCACGTCATTCTGGACAAAGCTCTGGTGAGTTCGCATCTTCTCCATCCTTAAATTGTTTTCCCTAGGAAAAACCTTCACAGAACATCAGGGGAAATGTGCACAGGGCTTGGCAGGCCTCAAGAGGTGGGAAGCAGCTTCCCTGGGCATGGAAAATGACACGGAATGGGTTGCAATGGGAGAGCTGCCCAGTGTGGGGGCAATGCGTGGTGGCAGCTCTGTGGGCAGACCCTGCACGGGGTGCCCCTGTGCTCTGCAATCTGTCATCTTTCAGTACGACTACATGGGAGCAGACAAATACGTGGTGACAACGAAGATGGTGCAGCTTTTCAGCTACGTGAACAGCGTGAGTGCATGCAGTTGGGTGGGAGAAGTGCTGCAGAGGGATGGAAAAGGCCCCACACCAAAAGAGTGGGGAGCAAAGTTGCCCCGACCAGCCACTGTTTCTGCCTCTTTCCAGATGTTTGCTCGCCTCAACCTGACCATAGTGCTGACTTCCCTGGAGCTCTGGACAGAAAAGAACAAGATTCAAACCACGGGAGCTGCTGAAGAGTTACTGCAGAGATTTCTGCAGTGGAAAAGCACACATCGTACCTCGCAGCTGCAGGACATAACATTCCTGTTTGTGTAAGGAGGGGATGGCTGGCGTGGGGATGACAGGAATAGGAGTGTTGGTGTAGTGCAGGGCAGCACCACAGGGCTCGGTTTGTGCTGTCCTCAGCTACAGGGAGCAATCCCATTCCATGGGAGCATCCTCTGCAAGGAAGCTGTGCCTCAAGGACCGCGCTGGAGGAGTAGCTTTGGTATGGAGCCCTGTGTCCATGCAGGAAGCCCTGTGCCTGGGCACAGCATTGGGCTGTGGGTGAGGGCTGCTGGCAGCAGGGATTGCTCTGCTGGGTGCTGAGCTGTGGTGTGGGGGCTTTGGGCTGGCGGTGCCCCACAGCTGCAGTGCCCTCGCAGTACCCTCGTGCCACAACGCTGGAGGTGTTCTCAGTGGCCGTGGCTCAGCTGCTTGGGCTCAGCCTGGGGATGAGCTACGATGACCCCAGGAGCTGCAGCTGTGTGGGAGCCACCTGCATCATGCAGAGCAGTGCAGTGTAAGTAAGGCTCCTGTCCTCCTAATGTAGCTTCTGCTGATGGGAAGGGCTGTGGAGCCCCGGCACAGACCTCACCCTCTGCTTACAGTCACTCAGCTGGCGCCAAAGCCTTCAGCAACTGCAGCATAAGAGACTTGGAGCGTTTTCTCACCTCTGGAGAAGGGCAGTGCCTCCTGAACAGGCCACTTGTGAACGTGTCCTACAAAGCTCCAGTGTGTGGCAACAAAGTGGTGGAGCTGGGAGAGGCCTGTGACTGCGGGTCGGCGGAGGTGGGTGGTGAGCCCTGGTGGGAGCTGTGCCTGGGGAAGAGCCATGCCAGGAACCCCTGGAGCTCTGTCCATATATCCCTGTCATATATCAGCATGAGCTCTCCTGACAGTCTGTGCTCGTTGCTTCCAGGAGTGCCGGCGTGATCCCTGCTGCACTGTGGGCTGTAAGACAAGGAAAGGGGTGCAGTGCCTGTCGGGGCCGTGCTGCTCCAGGTGCAGGGTGAGCCGTGCTGCAGCGGTGTTGCATTGCTTGTTTGCAAGACCTGTGTGCAGAGCATCCTAACAGGACCCTGTGCTGCTGCCTGTGGGTGTGCACTGTGCAAAGCTCTTCTCGTTCTGCCTCTTTCCACCAGTTTAGGAAGAAAGGAACCCTGTGCAGAACTAGCTCTGAGGATGAATGCGAGCTGAAGGAGTATTGCAATGGCACCTCTGGGGCGTGCGCACCCAACCTGTGGGTCATGGATGGGCATCCCTGCAGGCAGAACACTGCCTTCTGCTACAGGGGGGTGTGCCAGACTGCTGACAAGCAGTGCCAGGAGATCTTTGGCAAAGGTGGGGCAACATGCTGCTGGAGGAGCTATTTTGCAGGGGTTATAAAGGGCCAAGAATCAAAACCACTGGGTGCAGCAGGTGGTCCCAGTGATGATGCCCAGCTGCGAGGTGGGGTGAGGCTTTCTGACAGTGATGATGTGTGTTTGCAGATGCCAAAAACGGACCCTTGGCCTGCTATGAGGAAGTCAATGGCCAAAGGGACAGAATGGGGCACTGCGGCTCTGATCACAGTGGTTACCACAGCTGTGCCTGGAGGTGAGGGCTGTGGAAATGCTTCTCTCCCGTGGCTGCGCTGAGCCCTCTTGTGTCAGAGAGCGACACAAAGAGGAGCAGAAGGGTGAGGGTGGTTTGCAAAGCCCTGTGCTCCTCGTGCCTGCAGTGATCTCCGCTGCGGGAAGCTCATCTGTGAGTACCTGGGCACTGTGCCCTTCACCAAGGAGAGGGCTGCCGTGGTTTACGTGCGGGTGCAGAATGTGCTGTGCGTCACGCTGGACTACATGCAGCCTCGCACAGAGAGGGACCCCATGCTGGTGAGGGATGGCAGCGTTTGTGACGACCGTAAGGTGAGCGGTGCTGAGGTGTGGGGTGGCTTCTGGGGAAAGGAGGAGCTGTCAGAAGCATTTCTGCAGCAGTGGAGACCCAGGGGCAGTGGCTTTTCCATTGGTTGGATCCCAAACAAGTTGAGATCCATAGTATGAATGCCACTGAATGGGGTGAAGCAGGAGGTGGGTGTCCATCGTGTGCTGACTCTGTGCTTTAGGTCTGCATGGGACAGAAGTGTGTGTCTGCTGCTGTCTTGAACTACAGTTGTGACATAAGGAGAAAATGCCACGATCACGGTGTAAGTGACAGTGCTACGCGTGCTTGGTTTTGGAACCACTGCGTTCTCTGCAGCTTGCAGGCGTGAGGATGCGTTCATGGTCAGCTGATAGAAATCATTTCTCTTCCTCTGCCACGCAGGTGTGTGACAGCAAAGGGGATTGCCACTGTGATGTTGGCTGGAAGCCCCCAGATTGCAGGGAGAAAGCAGAGTCACGGGGAGGGAGCAGTGAGAGTGGTGGTGAGCAAGGAGGGCTGTGAGTGCAGGAGGGGCTGTTTCCCCTCTGTTTCCCCTCTGGCTGCTGTGGGTTGAAGGAGTTGTCCCTTGCAGAGCCCTGGAACAAGAGCTCACTGAAGACATGGCAGCTTCTCACCTTGTGTCTCAGTGTGCCCATCCTCCTTGGGCTCATCTTCGTGGTGATAAAGAGAAAGGAGCTGAAGCAATGTCTGTCCACAGAGCAGCCACAAGAAGAGAAGTGAGCCTGCTCCCCTCCATGGGGTGTGGGTGGCAAGAGGGGCAGAGCCCAGAGCTTGCCATAGGCATGAGGAGGGGAAGGCAAGTGCTGTTTGGCACTTACAGGAACCCCCTTCTGCTCCCACTGTAGGTTTGAGGAAAGCACTGACAAGGAAAGGAGCACAGTGGATGCATAGCAGCACAGCTGGAAAGGCCTTTAAGGATCTTGCCGAATTCGTGGGTGTCTGTGATGATCTTCTGAATGGAGGCAGCAGCAGCAGCAGCATGGACCCCTGGGCAGGGGGCTGGAGTCTGTGTGAGGGACACTGAAAGGCCGTGTCCTTTGTGTTGTGTCCTCGTGTGTGTTGTTCAATAAAAGGTGTTTCTGGTGCCTGAGGTCTGTGATCCCTGCAGGGCAGGGCAGGGTGCAGGTGCTCCCTTCATACATTACTTCTGCTCTCATCCCCCCCGGAGCTGTTGCCATGGGAAGAGCATGCCATCCACTAATGCACATTTAATCCAACATTATAGCCTTGTGCTTTGACAGCAGGAATTTAAAGACAACCTCAGCTCATGTTCAGCCATTAAGAAGTTAGCTGGAAATGCAGATTAATCCTCAACCTACATGAAATGTGACTCTGGGAGCTTTGCTCCCTGCTATGCAGCACTTACTGCACGGCAGCAGCTTCAGCCGTGGCTCCCCTTAATTTACCTTGGCTGCACCGAGGCTGTTATGAGAACGTAAATCAGCAGCACTGTGCAAACCCAGGGCTCAGGACTCAATTGGTGCACACACCACTCCCCCAAGGGACAAAATCCCCAGTCCTGGAGGGAGGACACCACTGGGATGCCATGCTGGAGCTTCTCCCCATGTCCCCATACTCACAGCTCCATCCCTGCTGCAGGGGCTGGAGCTCAGCACTTGCTTATCAGCAACCTTTACTCGTGTTTGCTCAGCCCCTCTGGCCACAGGCACCCCCCCCCAGGCCAAGGTTCGGGGCTGGCTCAGCACAAAGCAGGGCAGCAGAGTGTCCCAGCTGGGATGGAGGCCGGGGACGGGAAGGAGGAGAGCCTACAGCCCATGGCACTGAGCCGCTTCCAGCTCTCCGAGGAGTACGGCTTCCTTCTGCCCAACCCTCTGGTAGGACACGGCCGTGCCCTCGGGTCTGCGTGCTAAAGAGAGTCGGGGCAGATAAAAGTAAAGGCAGATATTGGGGTTGGTGAGAGCTGTGCTGGTTGGGTTGCCACTCAGCACTGCTTTACAGTAGTTTACAGAACCAAGGAGGAATGCATGGGAGATTTTGGCTCGCTTTAAAAATGATTACGCTGGCTGCAGCAAACGGCACAGGGGGAGAGGAGCAGGAGCTTTGCAATTCAGATAGCGGCTGTGGATTTACGAGGAGGGAATTTAGATGGCAAATCTCCTGCGCTACAAGCGGTGCCATTTGTCACCAGGCGCAGCTTACAGCAGGAGCTCTCAGGGACAGGCAGACAGTTGTTTATCGGCCATTAGTTCACAATCACAAGGGCTGGTATTACAAGTGGAGGAACCAGACACGAGCCATTAGCTGCAAATCTGAGGGCTGGATGGGTGCTCCTGTCCCTTGCCACAGAACCTTTCCCCATGCAGTGGAGCACTGCCCTGTGCACACCTGGCACTGCCACTGTGCTCCCTTTCCCCGACCTGCAGCTGCTTTGCACCAGGATGAAGCAGCTGTGTTCAAGTGCAGACTTGATCTCCCAGCCCTCTGTGCCCTGAGCAGGATCAAGCTCCCAGCCTCAGAACGGACCTGTGTATCTCTCTGGTCCCCAGCATGTGATGTGCTGATGCCTGATGCTCTCCCTCCTGCCATCTCCCCAGACAGAGCTGCCACCTTCCTACAGCCCTTGGATGGACATTGCCCAGGAGTTGCCCCAGCTGATCGCCAGCCACCAGCTCCGTGCACGCATCCACCAGGTACATGTCACTGCATCTGGCTTTGGAGTGCTCTTAAACTTCAGTCTGATGCAGCTGGGTCTGCAAAGGTCAATGCAAAGCAAACCAATAGTGCTCTGACTGGGTCAGGTTAGCACCGGTCACTTTTGTGCCTGCAAAAGCAAAGCCTTAATTTGGCATAGAGCTAATTCATTGCACAGCTGCTGAGACACCTCACGGTGCAGGGCAGTGAGATTCCAAGGGTTACCAGGGTTCATCACATGTAACCCAACCAGTTCCATCAACAGCAAACCCTGAAGGGGTGGGAGGAAAAGAACAGATATCCACAGGGAGAGCACAGGACTGGGGGTGTGCAAGGCGAGGTGCCAGGAGGGCACTGCTGGGCTGGGAGCACACAAGGCACACGTGCTGCCCATTGCTCGTGAGGGTCTCTCTGTCAGATGCCACAGCTGAACACTCAACACCTCCAAGGACGAGAGGAGCTGCACCTGGCTCACCTGGTGCTCAGCTTCCTCACCATGGGCTACGTCTGGCAGGAGGGCGAGGAGGGCAGCACGAAGGTAACATCAGCCCCTGCTCTCTGGGGGCCACAGCCTTCGTGCAGGGGTGATGCCAGAGCTGATATAAAGCCCCATGCTGTGCTCTGTGCCCCCCCAGGTGCTGCCCTGCAACCTGGCCGTCCCCTTCTGGGAGGTGTCACAGGCCCTGGGGCTGCCCCCCATCCTCACCCATGCAGACTTCGTCCTGGCCAACTGGAGGAGGAAGGATCCCAGCGGGTAACCAGGCGAGCGTGGCTCCTGTCCAGCACAGAGCTCCCATCACAGCCAGAAACCATTTGGAACCACCACAGCCTGGGGCTGACCCATGGCTGAAAGCCAGGGAAGGGTTTTGCCCCACGGTACATGTGGGGGCAAGTGGCCAAAGGCTGGACCTCCCACTGGCAAGCGACCCTGTTTGCATCCTATGCAGCACAGCCCACTGCTAGAACCGTTTATAACATCTCTCTATCTCTCTGCTTCTCCCCCTTTTCATGTGTATTTGCTGTCGATGCTCAAAATGCCTCCAGGCCCCTGGAAATTAAGTAAGTATTTAAGATGCTTATTTATTTTCTAACAGCATTAGTTTTGTTTGAATTGGCATAGTGCTCCCACACTGCAGGGCTCTGCTGGGTTAAACCTCTCTCACCCAGTGAGAGAAACAATTCAGTCCCTGGCACACAGACACCACTGCAACAGCAGCAATGCACCATGGCAGAACCACTACAGCTCCAACCTCTGCAGAGCAGTGCTACCAGGGAAGGGTTTAGGATCCCTCAGAGGCAGAGCAGAGCATTTCCCTGCCTACCTGTGCTTGAAGAGTGGGACATTTTGCACCTGGGAGGTTTTTCCCCCCAAGGATTGAGTTATGCTTTGGCCCAGCACTGGAGCAGGCAGCTGCACACCGAGTCTTGTGCAGATCATCCAAACCACTCACCCATTTCTAGGATGCAGCACTGCATTGGTGCTCAGTGCAAACTGCTGCAGCCCCTGAGCGCAGCACACGCGTGGTGTCTGGGCTGGAGACAGGCAGGGAAACAGGGAAACAGCTGCTGGCTGCCCTGCAGGAACCTGGAGCCCATCATATCACTGCCTGGGGGAGAGAGCCTGCGCGGATTCATCCTCGTCACACTCCTGGTGGAGAAAGCAGCTGTGCCTGGCATCAAGGTAGGGTGCTGCAAGCCCCGCAGCCACCTGACCCCACAAGTATTCAGGGCACAGGCTCTCTAGGTAAGTGGGGTGCATTTCCCTCCACCCATCTTAGCCCATCACTTCACGCTCTCCTTCTCTGCTCCTTGCAGGCCACCATTCAGGCCATTCACGCCCTCCAACACTTTGATGATGAGCGCCTGCACCAAGCCCTGCAAGAGCTGGCAGAAGCCATTGGAGACATGGACAAAGCCCTGCAGCAGATGCACGGTACCAGGAATGGATGCACAGTAACAGCAGCCTGCACCCTCAGGGCTCATTGGATGCATGGTGTGAATGCACTGTGCTTTTGAGCACCTCACCAAGCCCTGCTCTGAGGGCAGAGCGGGGTCCCCTCTGCTCAGGGAGCCCACGGGAAGCATTGCTGCAGGAGCCACCACCTGCATTTTCCCCACAGTAACACCTCTGGTCTAATTTCCACCTAGATTACGTGGATCCAGCAGTATTTTACACCGTGATCAGGATCTTCCTCTCTGGGTAAGTGGGGTGAATTTCCCTCCACCCACATCACCTGCTCAGAGCAGCAGAGCGCAGCGCCGTGGCTTTGCTGTCCCTCAGCTCCTCACAGGGCTGCCAGCATCACAATCCTCTCTGCTCTTGGCCTTCTCAGAAGGTTTCTATTTTTATTTCTGTTCAGCATTTCTCAGCATTCCTAAGTCAAAAGGCTCCATGCATCCTGATGATGTTTCTTTCATTTCATTTTTTTTTTAATCCAAGCTGACCTTGTCATGATGGTCATCAGCCTGGAAAAACATGTCTCTGAATTCCCTTCTGCTTATAAGTACTTCCCACTAGTAAAGGCTACTATAAATACATCCCTGGGAGAACTAAAAATATTAAGGTATTCGATAATGAATCTATTTTCTCTGCAATTTGAGCAAAATCTGCTCCTGCAGTCAAACAGCACCAGCAGCCAACGCTGAAAGCCCCATGAAACAGTGCATTCTTCAGGAGGTCAGGAGATATTTTTGTGCCAGGCACATTATGGCTCTGAAATTATAACTCCTCTCTCCATTTGTAGGAGAGCATTTATCCATTTTTGCACAAGCAGGGTGACACGGCTGTGAGTTAATGGCGTGCAGAGGGGGGAGGCAGCAGAGCAGCTCAGTTCCTGGCCTTGCTAGGGATGAGCATCTTTCATGAGAGGGAGGAAATCACATTCTGGGCTCGTTCTCTGCTGAAATAAAGGCAGTGGATGAGGATGCAGCCCCGGGGCTCATAACAAAACACACCATTATGGTTTTCTCCCTGCACCGTGACCTTGCAGTGCACCTTGACGTGCTGTTTATTCCCGAATTTATCTCGCATTTGAGGACAGCTCTCAGGGCGCAGTGATGCACGGCTGGGTGCAGGAAGGCAGCACTTCATCTACCAGCCCAGGGTCACTCCTGCAGCCCAGCACTGGTTGTGCTGACCTGTCCATGTCTGTGCAGCTGGAGGGACAACACGGCCATGCCCCACGGGCTGCTCTACGAAGGAGTCTCCGAGCAACCCATGGCGTTTTCAGGAGGCAGCGCAGCACAGAGCTCCGTGCTCCACGCTTTCGATGAGCTCCTGGGGATTCAACACAGCCAGGAGAGCAGTAAGTCCAACACTTCTCCCTTTTCTCAGGGGCTGCACAGAACCAACCCGCTGCATTGCCCTTTGTGCAGCTCCCGTTGTGCCTACAGCAGGTACAGCAGCCCACCTTGCCCTCCAAAACCCTTCTGCTGCCTCTGGCTGTCCTCAGTACATAATATGAGGAAGTCCATAAACCAGGCTCTGGCACACTTCCGTGCTGCTATAAATTCCCAGAGGAACAGACTTTGTTTTTTTGCACGTCAGCTCTTTGCTGAGGTTATATATGGGTACAGAGCTGAGCAGAGGAGCACGCCAGCACCCTGCCAGTAACTGAGCTCATCCATTCACATCGCTCTGCCCACACCAGAAAGTGTTTATCAGAAATTAGCAAAGCCGGCCTAATAGCAAATAATGCACAAACGCCGAGAGCAAAGGCTAAAATCTGCCTTTTAGGGTTAAAGCCGACACTAATGAAGCCTTGACCTAATAAGGGTTTGCTTCTCAATTAATTTAACGCGTTCAGAAAGAGCTGAGGACAAGAGGCTGCGCAGGGATCTTGCTGATACTGAAGAGCAGAACTCAGTGCCAGGGGCAGAAGGGAAAAGCCAGCAGGAAGCTGGTTTGGGGGTTTTGGGGTACCCCATAGACCCTGCAGCTGTGGGGCCCAGCACAGCCCTCCAGCAAGGCTCAGCCCCTGCGTGCTCCTGTGCTCAAGGATCTGAAAGGTGAAACCTTTCCCATAGGCATCCAGGAGAAGGAGGAGAGGGCAGGGGAAGTGCCAGCAAACGTCAACTTCTTGGAGGGCATTTGCATTGAACTTTGGACAGGGACTCATCCTTCTGCATCTCCTCTTCCCTTGGATTTACATCACACCAACTCCTAAAGGTTCTCCTGTGGTTTAACATTAACTCTTCTTTTTTTCCACCCCCCCTAAAGCATAGGCAGGCCTTCCAAGGGCAAACAAGAAGGGGAAAAGCAATCTAATATTCCCACCTACAGAAAGGCCTCTTCTCATTTCTCCCAACATCTCTGCTGGTGTTTTGCAGCCTCGTTCCTGCACAGGATGAGGGACTACATGCCGCCTCCCCACCGTGCCTTCATCAGGGACATCAGCCAGGCTCCCTCCCTGCGGCAGCACATCCTCAGCTCTGCAGACCCGCGGCTCCGTGAGGCGTTCAACCACTGCATCACAGCACTGGTGGACTTCAGGTCCCACCACATCGCCATCGTCACCAAGTACATCGCTGTGGCCAAGGCCAGGGCAGGGCAGGAAGAGGCTGCTTCCATTGGCAAGCCCCCAGTTGCACTGGAGGCCAAGGGAACCGGCGGGTCACACATCTTCATCTTCCTCAAGAGCGTCAGGGACAGCACCAGACAAGGGCTGATCAGTGTCTGATGGCACAGTGCTTGCTGCACCTTTCTGCTCGTGCAGGTCTCAGCTCACTCCTCCCCACTGCTTCCTTGCCTGCTCTGCAGCATCTCTTCAGGATTTCATGATTCCACGCTGCTCTGAAACACGAGCCTGCCTTGGGGAGGAGAGTGCTGCCATCCATCACCCCAAAGCACACAGGGAGCATCAACCCAAGGCACCAGCAGGATTGTGCCACCGATGGCCTCTGTGACATTGGGACTCTGCTGCAGGAATAACACAGCCTAATAAAGCTGCAGCTTCTAGGGACGAACCGCGCTGCTGGGCTCGTTAAGGGGCGATTCCCAGGTGCTCATCTGCCCTAGAACTCCTCCAAGAAACCCAAACACGCTTCCCCGGCTGAAAGCCTGCTGCCATCACGAGGTGGCAGCAGAAAGCTGCTTTTCTCCCGGTGCCGTGCAGCCGCCTGGGTGCGAGCTGCCAACAGCATCACCGGTAGCCCAGGAAAAAGGGGGGAGTGAAAGGGGGGAAGAGAGCAGATGAAACAAAACATTAGTTTGCGCTTCGGGAGTGCTGACTGTGCCAGCAGATTGCAGGACAGCGTTTCCCACTGTGACCCAAAGCCTCTGACAGCCAGACCCGGCATCTTTTGGGCACAGACCCTCCTGCCTGCATAGCAGCAGAGCACAGTATTGCAGTGCTGGGACAGGGCACCATTCTGAGCCCAGGGGGTCCCAGCAGCCACGGGTCACAGGCAGCTAGCTGCACTGCAGGTCACCAGGAGTGAGATACAGTGATTCTTGTGGCCCTTTTCAACCCAGGATACTCCATGGCTCCATGATACCTGGGCTGGAAACAGCAAGCTGTCCAGTCTACGAAATAGGGCTCTGATTGCCTTGCATTTCATTATTACTTCTGTGTCAGACAGTTTTGCTTACTGCAATGCCTGCTTCCAGGCTGAGTAACAGGCAGAAATCCTAAACAGACGTTGCAGCCACAGCCGGACCACAATTACTCACAGGGTGTCTGCTGGCAGGCACTGACTGCCCTGTCACTGCAATGCTCCAATCATCCAGAGCCAGCTGGGATGGGGAGAGCAGAATGGTTCCGCCGGGGCTGCACACAGAGCTGCAGCCCTGTATGTCTGCAGAGATTCTCAGCTACACCCTGTGCACCCCTTCCCCAACCCAGGCTGCAGGATAGGGGGGACACGCAGCCACATCAGTGCCAAGATGGCTGGGAAAGCTTTTTCCACAATGCCTGCTGTTCAATTGGCCTGGCTTCACCAAGAAGCCCCAGATTCCCCAGCATCTCAGGGGAAATCAGGCCATGTACATCCATGCTTTGTCTGCCTGGGTCTGCTGGCACAGCCACCAGAGACAGATTTCACACCCAATCAGTGTCTCAGTGCAAAAATAGCGCTGGCAGTGCCACTTCTCCTGCACTATCAGAAGAAAGTCAAGGTCCTTTGAAATGAGGCTTCATTCCCATAAGGGCAACAAAAAGCTCAGCACACCGGAGCTTGAATTGTTAAAGCTCCTTGCTAAATTTTATTTGGTGCCCTCTTTTGAAAGGCAGTCTTAAAACTGGAGCTTAGGAGGAAATATCTTCAGTAAACAACCTATAGGAGCATGGCAGCACCTTTAAATCTTTATCTGGCAGCCCTCGTTCCACTCCATCTTCGTTCCTGAATAGCTGCTGCATATTTTATGTGGGAGATATTTCATGCTGATGATTGTCTCGGGCTATTACACTTCAGACCATTTCAGGCAAACAGCAAACTAGAGTGGGGGAAAAGTCACTCCAAATGCAAAATGTAATGAGGGCTCTCACAGTGAAATGGGACAGGGGGGCCAGAGGGGACATTGGGACCCCCCCTGCATGGCCCTCAGCTCTGCCAGTACTGCTTAGGGATGAGAAAAGGTAGAGACAACTCACAGCTTTTCCAGGTGGACAAAGGAAGGCCTCATTGTACCTGTAATGCTATAATGTGATGGAAAGTACAGCAATAACAGCAGAGTGGCAAAGTCTTTGGCTGCAGTAGATGAGGACAAGCCCAGATGCAGCAGCCATAGGTGTAGAAATTAAGAAAAAGAGCTGCTTACCTTCAAAAGGCCACAGGTAGGCAGGGATCTCCAGTGAGAAACCCTCAGCTCCACTACCAACCTTTAAATGAGGGCTGGGAAGGGGAGGATCCTGGCTCCAGCTCTTCTGGTTACTCGGGTGCATTGCTTACACCTGAGCTCCCCTGGGTTGGCCCTGCCTTCCCACCAGGTGCTCCATCACTGCTTCAGGTCATGATTTAGCATTGCCACTCCAGTACCCACCTGCAGTTTATGGAATGCTGTGTGAGAGCAGCACAGTGACAACGCTGGCACAGATCAGACCTGCTCTGTACAGTGGGTGTGTGCAGATCCTTCAGTGCTCAGCCCTTCCTGTCTGCTCCTGGCAGCTGGGACGGCTGCTGTGCCAAAGCTTTGATTCCTCTCTGTTTCCAAACTGCTGCTGTCTACTATTGATCACAAGGCACAGACATCTGAGGTCTCAGGTGCATTACAACGGGAAGCAGGCTGCATTTCAATAATTCAGTGGGCTCTCTGCCTAAAGATGTTGTGATGAGTTTGAAAACAGCACAGCGCTCCACACTCGTTGTATGGGAGCATAGCAAATTTGGGTGAGTGGAGCATGGTGCACTGGCACAGAAGGGCTGTTTGTTGGGCTGCACTCAGCTTCATGCTTTCTCCTGCATCCCCCAAGGCTGGGGGAGTTCCTGCCATGCAAGCCCAGCACAGCAACAGTGCCATAGAGCTCAGCCACAACCACTGCAGTGGCTGCAAACCCAAATTAGTGCTGCCCACACAGCAATCCACCTTATCAGTACAAACAGAGCTGCTGCACACAATTCTACTGTGGGACTGCAGCACAGGAGCCACCCAGCACCATGGTTCGGCAGAGCATGGTGCAACACAGCACGGCGTGGCATAGGATGGCATAGCAGAACAGCACAGCATGGCGCAGCACCACATGGTGCAGCACAGTGTGGTGTGGCACAGCATGGCAAAGCACAGCATGGCACAGCACAGCATGGCTCAGCACAGCATGGCACAGCATAATATGGCACAGCACAGCAGAGTGCAGCAGCACAGCATGGCACAGCACAGCATGGCACAGCATAATATGGCACAGCACAGTGCAGCAGCACAGCATGGCACAGCACAGCTCCAGGTGTTTCCCAGCTTTCATCAAACCCATGCAAGAGCCCCTGAGCTGCCTTCCCTTTAGAAGCCACAACCAGCTCTGCCCCACAGCACCCACATAGCACGGCACACAGAGCTCAGGGTTGTGTCTCTTGCTACATCTTTTGTCCCTGTGAACATCTGAAATCGAACAAAAATATAAACATTTGGATTCCAGACACTTCTCAGCCCTAACCTTATTTATCATACTTGGCTCTGCTCCTGGAGTCAGGGCCAGAAGAGGCTCTGAACATTTTGAGTTATTTAATATGCTGCACATAGATCAATCTTGCTCTCCCCTCTAGCCACAGGTTTCCCTTTGTGGTTTGCTGCACAGCTATTATGTCCATCAGTATCTAAGTAATTAAAAATCCACCATTATGCAGGTCCTGGCTGCCTTATGAGCTTCTCATAAGCTATAAAACATTTCATGGTCAACTTTCCTTAAGTGCCCAGGAGGTCTGTAGCACCATCACAGATCTCCTCAGCTGCTGCCATCATCCTGAAGGTCCCATGCACAACCACCCTGCTGGAAAAGCAGTGAATGCCTACAACCTCCTGCCAGCTGTCCTGCACCACCACCCTGTGATTTGTGCCAGAGGAGGCAAACTGGGAGACAAGTACTTGTCCTTCTCCTGCATGGCTCAGCTGCTGGTCTCATAGGGATTTATCAGTAACAACCAAGTTTGCTTTGCAGTTTCCACTTGGGAGGAACAAGAGGATGTGGGATGTAACTGCCATAACCTCCTTGGCACCACTGCTCGCTCGAGACGTGATGCTGTGCCTGGTTCATGCCCTGGGCACTGAGTCCCTCAGAGCACCTGGCCTGGCTGGAGTGCAGAGGGCTCTATCACTGCCTGCAGGATTGCTCACCTTGGCAAGAGTGACTGCAGTCCAGAGATGATGAAAGGACATGACTCAAGGCAAAAAGCACTAATTACAGCTCAGACGGAGGAGGAGACAGGAACTGCTACATTATGCCTAATAAAGGAGAGGAATAAGGAACAGATTGAAGAGCCATCTCTGCAGAGATGATGAACAGGGGCTGTCCCAGTGGCACGGCACTGCCCAGGGCTCAGCATCTCTCATGGATTGCTTCCACCATTTGTGCACCTTTGGAGTATACCTGCCACGCCACGCTCCTTGCTTTGGGTCCTTGCCAGTGCTTTCCTGGCTCTGCCACCAAACCTCAAATCAGCCAAAGCAGGAGGCTGCTCCTGTGTTCCCATGGACTCAGTGCTGGGAACCAGAAGCACTGCAAATTGAGCAGCCAGCTGGAGGCTGCCCGAAGGGCCCTGAGGGAAAGGACTTGTTTTGAGCCCAAAGTCCCCAGGGTTGGTGCAGCAGCTACAAAGCTATGCACCATTAAAGCCGTTCATAAATAGAAAGAACCAGCAACTAAAACATTAGCATTTGAATAAAAATAACTTTGCAAAGCAGCCAGAGCTAAAACCAGGTCTTGGCAAAGGTCTCTGGCCTCCTTCTAGGATTGAGATTGCAGCAACCGCATGCATCCCTGCAGAGCATAGGAACAGCCTGGGTGTGCAGGGACAGGACAGTGCGCTCCCCAGGCTGGAGACACAGTGGATGCTGTCCCTTAATGGAGCCAAGGGCACACAGCCACCTGTATCCTCACCACTGGCACTGGGACATGCTTTGATTGCAGCATTGCAACAGCAGGGCTGTCGCCTTCGGTATTTACTCAGAGCCGTGCACAGCAGGTTCCTTCTTTATGATGAGGAGCTGGGGTAATTTGAATAGTAAATACTATGAAGAAAGTAGATTACTATGAAATACAGATTTTTTTCCAATATATAAATCATGCCTGTATTTGCATGTATAATACCAAAAGGAGGCATCTGGGACTGCTGCTAGTTGCAGTACTGCCTGATACGATGATTAGCAATAACCCAAAGTCTCTCTCCTCCAGCTCCCCTGCTGCTCCACCTGGTTTCATGTTAGGGATAGTGAGGTGCTGCTGCTCGGGCAGAGCCCTTTTCCTGCATCTCCTCATGGAGAAAGCTCTGCTACGAGCAATGGCTGGGATTGGTGCAGCCCCAGCACTGCCCATGCCTGG